AAGGATATATGTCTTTTAATATTCATGATAATTAAAACTACCTGGATTTTACAATGTATTCATAAGTAGTTTTGAAAATTATAATAAACTTAATTAGTCCAAATGAAATAACCTCAATGAAATGCTATTGTGTTTTTCTTTTCTATATATATGCGTGATGTTGATAATTCTGAAGTTCAAATTCTTTTATTAAGGGTATTTTTATCATTAAGATATTATTGAAAAATATATATTTAGAAATTTTTTTACCGTGTTCACATATTTATTTCTTAAGCACTAAAACAAGAAAAAAATATTTTTTAAAAATATTAAATTTATTATATTAAAATTATATGAATATAATTTCAATGGAAATATTTTTGAATAAATATTTTTCTGTTGTTAAAATTATATTTCTGATTTTAAATAATCAGAATTAAAATTCTTATTCTGTTTTGTTAGAAATACTAATATAGAAATTCAATCAGGTCATCAATAGTATAAACATTCAGATAAGCGATATCTGATTCATAATAACATCATGAAAAATCAATTTATGTCAAATAATGTTCAAATAATTATCATATCTATCATAAGGTCAATTGATAAAGTTCACATAAGCAATGCAACGTGATCACCACCCAATATACATCTAGTATACATTGCGAAATGTTTTAGAAATTGGGTACTGATGAGGTATGCATTTATCATGTATATATAATTTATCATGTATCCTGAACGTTTGTGCTAACATGTACATCATAATTTTATTCTTTTCCTGGAATTCTAGAAGTTAACATGATTTGAAAATTGCATGGTGATATACATTCATATTTAAACGAAAGAAGTAAACCAATGCTATACTTTAAAAGAAAGTTATTCATAAAATAAGAAAGCATGTTATTGGAACGCTTTTATGAATCCGTATTTCCCCGGAAGATTTGGGTGGCTTATTTTTTGTCCTCTTTTGTAAAAATATCATGCTCTATTGTCTAGCTCCAAAGCCGCATAGGTGTCACAAAAGGAAGGTCTTCTTACGTATGCGACGTAATGTTCCATGGATAGAGTAATCACTTTGCACGGTAGCCAAGAGATTCAAGGCTGAATCTAAGCGAGAGAAAACACGAAAACCAATCAACCATTTCTCGGTCAGACAAACTTGTCATCCTATTCATCCGATAACTGGATTCAATGGAATTTAAATGAAAGATCTATCCAGCTAACTACAAATAAATGTTTAACGAAAATAATATTTTCTAATTTTGGTGCACAAAGAGTATGTAGTCGCACTTCAGAGGAATACAATATTAACTCAAAACATCAGCTTCCCTTCACTTCACAGTTCAGTGGGCAGCGGGTAGTATTATAAGCGTACACGATGATAACGGACTTCAGCTCTAGCCCTGTTTGTTGACTGAAATTGACTGCAATTGTAAGTTGAAAATGTTATCTCACTAGCTCCCTGTAGTCTCCCAAGAATTAAAATTTCTTGTATTGTTCCGAATAGGCAACATATCCACGATCAAATAATAAGTTAACAAGTGTATTCATTAGCGTGGCAAACAAATGTTAGGAGATAGTGAAAATTTTTGAAGCGTTGGGTCCCATTATGTGCGACTTGCAGCCCTTTCTTCCGCTACAGGGTTGCTTCATCTTCAAGAAAACATTATTAATATTTTAACATCAGCTCTATTATACACCCTTGAATGGGAATCCCCTTGAATTAGTATCGCCACAAGAATCTATATGTTCCGAGGTTTAGACGCAAGAAGAGGGCGGGAAGGCACAAGAAGTTGAACACCTCCACAACAGAACAGGAGCTCGAACGCATCGATATTCGATTACAGGGCCTGTTCCAACTTGTGATACTCGATGATGAGCGGATGATTTGCATGATCTGATGAATGATTTCGAGGTTTCGTCGTTGTTGGAGATTGGAATAAATGTGCACCAGAGTGCACCCCTAGGCATGATGTTCTGTGTCATGATCGTACAGATCCATCCTCCTAGTTTTGCCCATCTCAATGAGGAAGCTTCCTCGCACAGCTTCTACAACAGATGGCACTTTCTTTAAGAAGAAGTTTTCAAAAAGGCTTCCGTTTGGTGGATATTCTGTATTGCCCCGGCCCGAAGTTGGTAGTAAAAGTTTGACGGACTTTTCTCAGTGACGCAAAGCTAGGATGTATTGACGTAAAAAATTGGCAAATTTAACTTGTGAACACGGGAAATATCCCAATAATATCGTAGGAATTTTTTTCAATTTTTTAGATATAATTTTTCAATGCTCATATCAATGTGGTTTTTTTTATCAAGTTTACGGCACTAAATATGGGAAATTTTCTTTCAATCTTTCTCAAAAGCTTGGTTTTCATGTTCATAGTTTGATTTATCTCTAAGTTCATAACATGTTCAAATGGATGTATTTAATCTAATGTTTCCAAACTTCAAGAAAGATTAATTTATCTATATAATGATGATTATTGTTACACTTCTTCTACATCGAATAAGATAAATATTGTCTTCAGAACAATTGTTACAAAAAAGATAGAGTACCAAACTCTAGTTCAACCACGTTGATAAAAGTGTTGATCTGATGTTATATAGCCTAGAGCATAATATCCAATATGTGGCATGGATATATGCAAAAGAATTGATGTATATATATATATATATATATAATATACACATAGCTTGCATAAATATCAGTTAAAGCCTTACATGTAATAAAAAACGAGGAGGAAACGAATGCCAAAGTGCTTAAAAATGCTAGGAGTGAGATTACATCTAAAAAGTCTGTAGTTGCATTCTCATCCATCAATATTAACACTCATAAATGTGCATAATTTATTGGCACATTCTAGAACTTTCTATGGTGTCACCAAACGAAGATTATATGATTCGTCTATCAGACAATGACAAGCTAAATATGAAGAATCAAATCGTAGGAAGAAGTTGGCACAAGTCACATTCGAGCCATAGACCGGGTGAACGCGCTGACGAGCTTTTCTTTGAAGGAGAGCTTCACAAAGACCGCTTGCCGACCCATAATTATAGGAGAGTCCTCTAAATGCAGAACATGTCAACGAGTTTGATGAAATGAAGGGTGCATACATCATTCATTCTTTCTTCCAAGCCATCTTCGAGGGCATCTCCATTACTCACGACTTCGAAGATTCACAAAGGCATCATGTAGATCACGTCTGCACGGATCTTCGAGCCAGACGACGAAGGGTCAGTGGCATACAATGTATAATCCTGGGCGTATAAAATTCAGGTTCAGGTCGAATAATACTCGTATATAAAAATATACGCTTCCGTCGTCGAGTCGAGTCCAGTTTTCGACATGTGTTCCCACTGCGGATGTTGTAGTGAGACAGTGTCCCTTTCGTGCCACCTGGACTTTTCATCTCGAGCATGCCACGTGTGCAGCAGAGATTAGGATTGTGTCTGACTTCACCTTCGTCTTCTTCGTCTGGAACGGAACGGAATGGAATGGCATGACATATCATGGAATGTCATGTCATGGCATGGGAGCAGACATTGTGGAACGGGCACGGACGTGACAAGGCCAAGCAACCGATATATTTACCCCTCGGATGGGATGCGGTTTCTTCAGCGGGAGTCAAAGAACCTCGATGTGGACGTTTGCGCTCACAACGTCCACATCCACCAGGAGCATGCCCAGTCCGTAAACCCTAAACACAAAAGAGGTGACCCGATGATGTATGGAATGGGAGTTAGGGCCTTCTGGCTCTTTCTTGTGGCCCCAGAGAGTTGACAACTCACACCGTGACTGCCGCTCTTGCCGCTCGATCTGCATTTGTATTAATGGCCGAATTGAGATCTGTCCCGCAAATACCTCCCTTTCAAGTCTTCTTCACGCGACCAAATTGCGTCACAACTCGGTGGAATAATTTAGATGCAATCGAATGTCGGAAGTTAACAGCACTCGGGGGGTGGAAGAAGGTAATGTAATTAAGATGGGAGGTTCAAAGACACACATGACGAGAGGGGAGGCGATTGTGGAAATTGTACGCCGTGTGCTGGTGGAAATGGAAGAGAGCACTGCTAATTTTGACATTCTCGAATTTGGCAGTCAGGCGGTCAGTCAGGCCGAAATTATCATGAGACGACCCTGCCTGCATGTGATTAGCAGAGAAGACGGCGATGAGGCCGAGAGGGAATAATGAGAGAAGACTGAGAGGCGAAGTCGTGAGTATCGGGCCGCCCGCGGATCTGTACGCCTCCATGGCTCTATGGGAGGGAGGATTAAAACATGGGGAAATGCAAGCCGAAGGGTTTACTCTGCTTTGACTTGAGCAGCAGTCGGAATGGGAATCACATCATCCGTAGAGCATGCATGATGGCCTTCAGTCAACCCGCGTGTCCTCTCTCTCTCTCCCTCCCTCTCGCGGCTCGAGAGTGGGGGCGAGGACCGAAAAGATTGACCGACTGTAAAAGCGAGTAGCAAATTTAGGGACAGGAGGGAGAGGGGCATGTGGGAAGCGGTGGTTTGAACCCGCAATCTGGAAGAAACGGAATAGAAGCAGAGAGCATGAGGTAGGGCCGTCTCCGTCTGCCTCTGCCTGCCTCTGCCTTTGTCCTGTCCTTGTCCTCGAGCTCAGGTGTGACATCCTGAGTGGACATCACTCGGTCTCGGTGTTCTCCACGGCTTCCCTCCCTTCCTCCCTCCCTGCCTGCCTCCCCCCTCCTGCTGCGTTCCTCACAGGCCCACGCGGGATGGAGCAACCGAGGATGGAGAAAGTAAAACAGCGCACAATTGGCTTCAGGACGACCAGGGAAAAGTCTCTGCTGCTGCAGCAGCGGCGAGCAGCGAGCAGGACAAGGAAAAAGCAAGAGGAAGAGGATCCCGCTCTTGCTGCCGAGCCATTTTCCTAGACCACCACCACTCCTACATCGTAAAGCGTGGTGGTGGTGGTGCTGCCTTCCTAATGGCTCTGGAGTCTGGATGGAGGCAAAGGAAGCTACTATAGTCTGGAGGTGAGGCGATGTGGTGATGGTTGTAGAGCTACAGCAGTGGGCGGGGAGGGGCGGTTGTTGTGGGGAAGTAAGCTCAAGCTGCAGCGGGCAGTGCTACACCCTGGGGCCTGCTGCTGCTGCTGTGCTGTGGCTGCTGGTGCAGGCAGCGCACTCCACTTTTCTAGGGGGGGCTCATTCAAGGCGCCCTGTTGCTCATTAAGCAGCTGCAGGGGCCCTACTCTCGCCTTTGTCTCTCTCTTCTCTCCCGGGAGTTCCTGCGGTGGAGCGTGGGGAAGGAACCCGAGGAGAGTCCGGAAGCATTGCGCCGAGAGCAAATCCAGCTGCACTGTTGCAGTCGCTCAGCGTCCCAGCTCAAAGTCCGTTCTGCCGCAATGGGCTTGAGGATTGGGAATTCCGTGGGAAGTCGGTTGTGTGAGCTGGACAGTGGAGTGTAAAGAAATAGAGTGGAGTGGATTGGGAGTGGAATTTTAGTATTTTGGGTGGAGTGGCGTCGAGAGATTGGTGGAGCGCAGCAGTGGTCGATGTGAGCGAGGATCAGGGTTGATATGGTGTCGGTGTGGAGAGTGAAGGTCTCTGTTGCCTGAGCACCAGCTCACCGGGGCACACGAATTGGTAGCTCTCTCGTTCTAGCAATTCGTCGATGTTCGGTTGAAGATGGTTCAGCACGGCTTTCTACATGCGAGGATGAACTCCACCACAGCCGGCTTGTTGCAGCCTCCGAATTTCTCTAGCATCTGCTCTCCGAGCTCAAAGATCTCGTGCTCGCTCGAATTGGAAGAGTCTCGGATGTCCGTCGTTACTACTGCAGGCCTTCTCCTCTGAAAAAAGTTAAAATCCTTATAGATAGAGAGATAGAGAGATAGAGAGAGATAGAAGGAGAGATGGGTGGCAGAAGCATTTGATACGGCTGATGATTTCTCTGCAATTAGTACAGGAGTAAGCGGAGCCGGAAAGTGTTGTTGGACAAGATGACCGGGATAAGCACCCCCAGGATCTTCCACCATCACAGAAGGCCCTCATGGCCTCTCAACGACTTTGTACATAAACCGACTCTGGCAATGGTAAATTTTTGATCACTCTGGCCTCCGTCTACTTCAGTCGAGCGCGTCGGATGCATTCTCTTCTCTGGGCTAGGTCTTCCTCAAGCGCGATAATATCAGATAGGTGCCCATGGATGGCCGAACCTCCCCTGCCTGCCCTCTGTATGGATCACCAAGATGCCTGGTGCTCCCGCCCCAAAACGCCTCCCAATTGCAGCTCCACAGAAATCTTTGCCATCACGTCCTGCTTTCTCACCAAAACCAAACAGTGAATGCGCATACGGGGCTTGCCTCACATCGAATTCGAGAGTTTTTGTGTTGAGGGAGTCGATCTTCTGCTCCTTTGTCACTACGGTGACTCGGCTATGACGGTCAGACCGGCAGGCCAATGCAATCGTCCGGCAGTGCTGTCGACAGGAGATCCTTTCCGCCCTCGCAGAATGTCCTCCGGCTCGAACTATCTATGCATGAAACCCACGGTGCGATGGTTTCCCCTCACCATCCACTTTCTCCCCGCCCTATAACACACTCCCGATGAGGGCTGGCCGTCTTCGGTCACATCCCACCAGGTGCTCTGCCATCGCTGGGGCTTGTCGTCAGGCTGCCAGCCGGCGAGAGGAAATAATCGATTCGGACGTTGAGAGTCGAGGAAATTGAGTGCCGGAAAATAAACTTTTAATGTAATCGGACTATAAAAGCACTTAAATCCTGCGTCGCTCAACGTCCAGGAGCGTAAGGACGCAGCGAATGTTAGATTATTACCGATGAGGAAAATAGGTCGGGCCGCGAGATGTGACCGAGTCTTTTAGAGTCGGCTTCTGCTTGAGAGATGACAGTTTTGTTCATGGCCTGCCTGCGTGCCTGCCAGGCCCTTTTTCATGGAAGTGGGCGTCCTGTCACGGCGGTGTTGCCAATAAATTCACATGTTGACATTTTGTGGTGGTGGTGCTGGTGTTCGTGATCCTCAGTTGGAGTCGGACCCCGGTGCTCCCCCGAAGAAAGCATGGAGGCGCAAGTTGAACTGCACGGCTGGTTTTCTGAAAGAATTCAGTGTGACTTTCATGGAAGCCATCAAAATGGTAAAGTTTAAATTTGTGAATAATGCATCCCACGCTCTTTCTCGGCAGGTTGCTAGCGCTGAGACTGCGAGAACACGCCTCTCCATTGCTTTGATGTTTTACGGAGTTGGCGGGCCGGTTGCCGCCCGAAGGGGGTCTTGGGGTTCAGTTGGATATTGCAGCGCTTATGAAGTCGTGATGAGCGGGTTCGAGTGGATTGTCGGGGCTTGTGAAGAATTGAGTTTCATGAGCCTGAAAGACTGTCTGTCATGCAGATTGGACTCGGTTTGCGACTTTTGGCTTACGTGAGATCAGAGCGCGCACAAGGAAGGGTAAATTCTCTGAACATGAACGAGGACTCTTCGTATGCAGTTGCATTTCCTGATCTTAAAAGTTCAATTTGGCCATTCAGTGACAGCTATGAAGAGGTTTTACATAGAGGATTTTTGTGTGTACAGGTGCCTCCGATCGATCCCTACAACAAGGGTTCCACCAGGCCTTCTGCTTGCCATGGAGTGCCCATGGGTGGGATGGGGTAAGATATTTTTTTGTGGTCTTTGGTTGTTTTCTTCGCGAGTAGAAGTAAACGGAAGTTTTGATGGATGCCCTATAATTGGTGTCTTCTTCTCTCTGGTCCTATTGGTACATGGAATTTAGTTTTTGGACAGAACTGAGAATCTCCGTAATTTGCAGGGGAGGAAGTATTGGCCGAGGATTCAGAGGCGAATTCAGGAGGTGGCAGATTATACCTGGGCTCTGTGAAGAAGCTCCGCAGCTTGCCAATCAGTTTTCGGTGAGTTTTAAAAATTGTCGTAGACGTAGAAATTTGTTTGAGAGAAACGGATTCACTCTCAGTAATTTAGCTCGGTTGAATTCGTTTCTCTTGTAGAGTCACCATCACAAGCCAGTTGACTCTGTTTTTGCTGAACTGTGAAGGTGTTCATAAATCGCGAGAAGGATAATGGAGTGAAAAAGCAAATTTCTTCGGTCCTAACACCTGGTCGACCCGCTGAAATTGTGTACGTAGCGATTACGCTATTTGGAGCTATAGGAATTTGAGAATCGGGTCAAAGTAGAAAGTTTGAGTGTGTATACAGTTCTGATTGTATCCTTATCTACAGGAATAAAGAGGATGACGTCGGTATTTCGAACTGGGACTGGAATCTTGATGGTCAACATTCTACGTACCACGCTCTCTTCCCTAGAGCTTGGACAATCTATGATGGTAAGCAGCCTCAAAGTTCAATTTGTATCAAGTTTGGTGTTAGTTTGGTTTCGAGGAATCTCTTGTGTAAAGTAGCTGTACGCTCTCATCACAGCGTCACTGTAGAAAACATATACAGAAGAATCAGTGTCGAAGTTAAAGATGTATCGCAGAATCTCTCAGGGTTCTTGTCAACAAGTACTTCACTTCGAAGGAAGCAGTTCAGTCTTGTGTTTCTCAGGGTTCTTGTCAACAAGTACTTCACTTCGAAGGAAGCAGTTCAGTCTTGTGTTTCGGATTTTTGTGCTTCTCTTGCTCATGACGTTGGTTCTAGAAAAATCATTCAGTGACTGTCTTTGGATCATGTGTGTTCTTTGGATTAAATTATGGCCCCTCGCTAAGAGTTTGTTTAAGGATGCCAAAGCCCTGGTAGTTTCTTATATTTTCGTTATTGTGTAGTAGTCGAGAATCCACAGATGTTTAGCGTTTTCCTTGTTCTGATAAATCAGAACATTGCAGATGAGCTTACCCTGAGGGTTGTCCTGTGGCCGATATTTGATGCAGGTGAACCTGACCCAGATTTGAGAATCTCATGTCGTCAAATCTCCCCTTTTATTCCTCATAATTACCAGGAGAGTAGCTACCCAACATGTGTATTCGCTTACACGGTAAGATATACTGGGGTCATATCCAGCTTTCCTTTGTTTTTTGGATCTTGATCATGATATTTCTTCTGCGTTGCGTTCATGTTAAGTTTTTGGCTCAAGTTTTGAACTCCCTTGCAGCTCGTCAACGCTGGAAAGGAGACTGCGAATGTGGACTTGATGTTTACTTGGGCGGTGTGTAATCTTCCTCCTTTGTTTAGAGAATAAGAACACTGCCAGAAGTATTGGAACTTTCATTTTTAGTTGAACCTCCTAAGCACTTCATCTTGCTTATATGGATCATGATCACTCTTTTTGTACTTAACATTTTGATCATCTTGAATGGAAGAATCGCCGCTGTAATTGTAGGTTATGATTTGCTTGTTATTTTTTTTAATTTCATGCAGAACTCTATTGGTGGGACTTCGGGGCTCACCGGGGGACACTTCAATGAGGCGTTTGAGTAAGTGCTGTCACCAGTTTTAATTTCCGATTCGACGATCCAGACATCACGCGCGTTGCGTCATAGATAGGTCCTTAACTAGTCGGAATTTGTAAGGATAAGAATGTTTACCGAGATCTTGCCAGTGTGAATTATCTGGGAGGTTGTGTCCTAGATGTATATAACGGAAGCCAGACTGTGTAACACTACAAACACTTGAAGAGGACGAAATTTGTGGGAGAAGTGAAGAGCAAATTATACACGCCTAGAGCATATCTTTGAATATTTGCCTCTAGATTGCTGTTAACCCTGAATATGATTTTCAGCTCCCCGACAGCAATTTGAATCACAAATAGAGAGCGTATTTTACTTCCATTCAGCACAGTTTGAAATACTATCTGATAGCAGTTCAAGGCAAAAAAGTCAACGACGTGGGGAGAGGGAGGATGGATTGCGGCCCATAGCTGGTCTTGATGGAGAGAATTGCTTGTTCTCATTGCGTCTCTTGTGGCGGGTGATTCAGGGAGGAAGATGGAGTTAGTGGTGTTCGGCTCCATCACAAGTAAGTTCGCGTTGTATTGCATGTGACACTTGTGTATTGGTAATGTGTGCTTCTACTTCAAGACCGCAATTTAAGTATAGGAGGACGTTTGCAGACGGACGTTGGGTTAGTACTAAGAGGATGACAGTCTTGCAGGACGAAAGGAAATCCATCTGTTACGTATGCGATTGCTGCCCGTCAAGTTCCTGGAGTCACTGTGTCTGTCTGCCCCAACTTCTCTCTTACAGATAAAGGAGGAGATTACACTGCCAAGGATATGTGGATGGAAATGAAGCGGGTTTGTGCTCGGATATGCCTTCTTGTTGTGAGGATTTTTTGACTCTTTTTAAGATACGTACCAATCGAGTTCTGCCGAACAGCATAGAGGGGAAGGAGTCTGAGTCATTCATCTTTCCCAGATTTTTGTAGATACCGGTCATCATGATATTGCTCTTTGCCCTTCCTTGGGTCTTGAATTTGGGGGATTAGGAAGACTCACAATGTATGTCGTGTTTTGGATAAGGACTAAACTTGAGACGGCCCTGGTCATGTCGCAGAATGGTAATTTCAGCCAGTCAAACTTGGCGCGGCCTCTGGTTACTTCACTTAAGGGGGAAGAAATCGGTGCAGCTGTCGCAGCTCACGTTGTGATCCCACCGGGAGAGAAGAGGAACGTCGTATTTTCTCTAGCTTGGGATGCCCCTGTTGTCAAATTTATGAAAGGCCGTTCATACCACAGGTAATTTTTGATCGAAACTCGCCCAGGGCTCCCCGGTACATCTGTCGCCGTATAAATTTGATTGGAGAGTATAGTTTCCCCTGCCCCCAGGATTGAAGATCACAATAACGACTTTGATTGGGACGTGTTATGGATGCAGACGGTACACACAGTTTTATGGCACATCTGGAAATGCAGCCTCAAAAATTGCTCACGATGCATTACTTGGTACTCTCTCCACCTGACTTTTAAAACGCTGATCGTGGATAGTTATCTTTTTGTAAGAAGTTGTTATTGGCTTCTGTCTTGGGCATTATAGTAGTTTTCATTTTGTCGGACTTCAATGACATTGAAAATCGCTGTCTTAATGTGAACGCAGGCTATCGTAAGTGGGAGATGGATATTGACGGCTGGCAACGACCGATTCTCCGGGACGAGAAGCTGCCCGAATGGTATATATTTTAGATCTCATTTTGATGGCTTCCACTCACGCGATGAAAGTTGATTCTGGAAAGTCCTGAGCGTGGCCAGTTTGAGAGCCATATAATGACCAAGTATATCGTTTTGTCTTGTACACCAGGTATCGAATCACCTTGTTCAACGAGTTATATTACCTTGTTGCTGGAGGCACTATTTGGACAGGTGAGCGGAGTATTTTATTCTCGTCTCTATATGCTGTATTGGAATCCATTTTGCTCCTCGAAGGCTGTTTTGATACATGTCTCTGTTCATATGTGCCGAATTCGTCCAAGTGTTTCCGCTGACACAAGCTTGGCGCAGATGGGAACCCTTCTCTGCAGGGAAGGGGAAATCTGTCAGCCCCGGGTTCCCCAGAGTCGTTGTTATCAACAGGTGGAGCGTCGGAGACGAATAGTGATGATGAGAGCGTGTACGGAATGGCCCGAGGACCAAGTGATTTGAGATCTCAGTCATTTGGTCGAGAACAACCTGTAGGGAGGAATGACGCTGTGGGTGAGAAGAGCTTTCGTTATGTAGGAGTTTCTGAGTACGGTGATGGACTTGATTTCAGTCCAGAGAGATCGAACAATAATACGAGGCCAGACGACGAAGGAACAGAGATGGCTGTGAAAACTGATGACACGTCTCGAGCACTTTTTGAAGCTATGAAGCCGCGGTTACCCACCGACCCCTCTGGAAACATAAACTATCCCACGAGTGGGATATCTCTTCTCCAAGAAGGTGAGGAGAACTATGGGCAGTTCCTCTACCTTGAAGGAGTAGAGTACGTGATGTGGAACACTTACGACGTTCACTTCTACGCTTCCTTCGCGCTCCTTTCGCTGTTCCCCAAACTCGAGCTCGCTATTCAGAGAGACTTCGCGGCAGCGTGTCTGTCACATAGTGAGGAGAAAGTAAAGTTCTTGGCGGAAGGTAAATCGGGTATCAAGAAGGTATTCGGTTCGGTGCCACATGATTTGGGTACCCACGATCCATGGGTAGAAGTGAACGCGTACAATATTCACGACACGAGCAAGTGGAAGGACCTCAACACCAAGTTTGTTTTACAGGTATACCCACATGTAAATGCATCGTTAGCCTGACTAGTTAAAACTTTGAGGAATCAAACATTGTGGCGTTCTAATTAACGTCGTGAGGAGATGGCGAGTCTGTGGGAAAAAAACTGGTTTTATTCAGGTTGCTAATTCTAGTGCTTGCATCACAGGTGTATAGGGACGTCGTCGCTACGGGAGACAAGAACTTTGCACGAGCTTGTTGGCCAGCTGTGTTTGCAGCCATGGCCTACATGGACCAGTTCGACAGGGATAAGGATGGGCTGATAGAAAATGATGGCTTCCCAGACCAAACTTATGATACATGGTCCGTACATGGTGTCAGTGCCTATTGTGGCGGTCTGTGGGTAGCTGCTTTGCAAGCAGCAGCCAGTATGGCCGAAATTTGCGACGATCCTAAGACAGCTGAGTACTTCCGTACAAAATTCGTTCAGGCAAGGGATATGTACGAGAAGAAGCTGTGGAACGGCTCGTACTTCAACTATGACAGTGGAAACAGCAGTAACAGCAATTCCATACAGGCGGATCAATTGGCAGGACAGTGGTATGCGTGGGCCTCCGGCTTACCTCCGCTGTTCGATGACTTCAAAGCCCGAAGTGCCTTGAAGAAAGTTTACGACTTTAACGTGATGAAAGTAAAAGGAGGAAGAATGGGTGCAGTGAATGGAATGCACCCAGATGGACGTGTAGACGAAACATGCATGCAATCTCGGGAAATATGGACCGGAGTAACCTATGCAGCTGCAGCTGCTATGATTCACGAGGGTATGGTTGACCAGGCCTTTACTACAGCAGAGGGAGTCTTCATCGGTGGCTGGTCAGACTATGGGTATGAACTTGGCAGGACCTAATACCACACTTTGTCTGTGTACCTTCAATGCAATTATGGATGTGTGTTAATTAGTCTCCATCACTTGCTGGGCATTCTGACCTTGTGCCGGAGAAACTGCCTGTTATATTGCCTCTACTTTGATCATTGTCGTTCATACCGATGAAACCGCTAAGCTCATGAACCTGGGGGATTTCGATATTTGCAACGGGCCGGTGTATCTGTTGGACTTTTTGGCCCCGGCTGTCCACACCGCTTAACTCAGAGTCAAAGTGTGAAAGCCTGACAATTGTTCTGTCATGTGTGGATCAGATACTGGTTCCAAACACCGGAGGCTTGGAGTATGACTGGAGCTTATCGATCGCTGACTTACATGCGGCCTCTTTCGATATGGGCAATGCAATGGGCCCTCTACCCTCCAAAATGTATTGCCGAAGCACCTCGAATACCTTCCATGGACCGAGGTTCAAACTTTGTCCATGCAGGCTACTCTTCTGTGGCCGATTATATGAAGAATATTCGAAGACCACACTTAGAATTGAGCAAAATAAGAAACATATGTAATGATCTGCTTGATTGTCTACGTCGGACTACATAAGGGTTCAAACCCATTATTCATAACAATGTCAATGTTTGTACATGGCCTGAAAAGAGCACCACTATTCTTTAGCCAAGTTGTATAATGAAAAATCTACAGGCAAAATGACTTTGCCCTCTAAGGGTGCTCATGAAAATTCACCGTCTTATTCTTCTTTGCAAATCTCTCCCTTTGCTCCTTCGTTGGTCATGTTCAGACATCTCTTTCGCCTTGTTCTTCATACTTCAGAGTGGCTACTCTTTTGGTTTTCTTGGATTTGCGGAAATTGTCTTCTTAATGAACAATGTCTCTTCGTTGTTTGATTGGTTACTGAAGTTTATACTCAATGCAGTGTCGTTGCGGTCAGCAAAGTCTGATGTGGCTGAACAAAGCGGGAGCTCAAACACGCCCCCTAGCCATCCCCGGGATCTAGTCTGGAAGTCCGAGGTCCACATGAGAGACGTATACCCTGTTTAGCAGCAGCGCTTTGGTGCGTGCCTCTCTGTGTTGGATCCTTTTTGGCTCTTGATTTTTGTATTTTTGTTCTTCTCGTTGTCCATCAATTGATCAGATGGTTGGAATACTTTGAGCGTTGAAGTGGAGATGGGAAACGCCATTTGACTCTTCCTTCTTAATACCCGGGGGAACGGGCTTCATTCATGAGAGGGATTAGAAGGGAGCAATTCTTTGTAAATCATTAGCACTTAGTCTGTCAAAATTGGCTGTATATATGTACCATTAGTCTTAGTGTCGTACAACAGGTTATGAGACGTGTATTACATTGTTAGTTGCGCAATTTTAATCTATTTGTCTAGACCTTGTAAGAACCTCGTGTTCACCTGCAATTTGATAGGCATGACATCAGATTTTTTTGTTGATTAGCAAACATGTTCCAGAATTGTCGGAGCTTGGAAAATTGGCCAAGAGCTATTTTAATCTCCTCTGCTCTCACCGTATGGAATGCTGTAAGGCCGAATATAGCCATGCATTTTAGATGGCTCTATGCTCGGGCATGAAGCCCCATCCTGTTCACACCTCGTTCTATTCTGGTCCTCTGGTGGAGTAGGTAAAATTCTGATATTAGATTACCGAGTAACTCGTGCGCATCACCCGACTTGAACTGCCCTTGTTCCGGTGTTCAATAGCCCTTGACCTGAACTGGAGCTTTTCTTCTGCAACTGACCGCAGACCTTCGTGGCCGTTTATGCGCGTCATTGTGTCGCAGTATGTGCCCGTGACGTTTGTTTCGTGTTAGATGGTTCATGTCTCCTAGTCTCTGCACACTCGTCATATACTCTTGGGCATTCCGATAGACTTCGTGGGGCAGTGGTGCAACCGGTGGTTTCCGCGCCTCACAGTAGCTTAGCTTCATGTCAGGATGGTGACACCAGTGTAGCACCTCAGTCGTGCTGGTCAGTGAAGCATATACAGGCTTTTCTGAACTTGGGGCTTGTGGGCTGGTTCATCTGAAAATTAAGATTCGATCTTGAAGACGAGGATCTTGTTCAAATGACCCCCTTTTGGGAAGTCTGTGAGCCAGTGGAGATGTCCGAACGTTGTATCAGCGGTTTGCAGCGTACTCTGAACGCATTGTTGTCGGTCAAACATTTGGCCATGATTTACGGCACTGTCAGAGACTGTCAGAGTTTCCACGACTGATCGTCTGAGATAATTATCCGGTCAAATGGGCCCCCTCATTGTCTGCAATGACTGTGAGTCCCACTCACTATACTTGACCCAAATCCTACTCAGCTCGGCAACGAAGGAGAATCTTGACTAAGCTGACACGAAGATGAGCTGAAGATGTTGTGAGATCTGAAAGATGTGAACAGAATGTGTTGTGGTCAATTTCCAAACCATGAATAGTGGGCGAAACTAGCAGCACGACAAAGTGAGTTGGAAGAAATATATAACGAATCTCGGAACCTCAACCACTATCTTCTGTCGGAGGACACAAAATCATTCGGGCCTGCCCAACTGAAGAATAGAAACTTTCCAGCTGGAAGAACTATCTGGGGTGATCATGAGATGGATATTATCACACATACGAGATCCCGGAGGTGCTTGTGGAGATGCCGCGGATAGCAGAGGAGAGTAAGTACACACTCTCGAGCTTTGAATTCCACGAGAGAAGCTCTTCCAAAAGGCAAGAGATACGTCCCTCGGTTTCCACAAGGTTCGACTCCTCTCGTCACCATAGCTTCTGCCTATTGCTTGCTACCATGGATCTCCGCCCTTAGTGAACGAAAGAGCCATCTTCTCAGACTGAAGTCTAGCCAAAGCTCCATCAGACATCAAACACGGCAACCGCCTGCAGCGTCCTTATGAAGCGAGCACCCTCGACCATATTTGGAGTTCATGACGAAGGCACAAGCTCATGACGACCAGAGCAGGCCCTTAAGCTAGTCCATTGATATGAGGGAATGGGGCAACTGCATATGAGCATAGAGATTGAGGGCTCGCATGCCCTGCAACATAAGCTCAATTATCAAGCGTCACTTTCGATCCCGACAGATTATGATCCAAACGACGTCCGCATTCCATCTGATGACCAGTTTCGGTGTAGCAGCAGTTACTCAAGTGCTCGCGATCTCGACTGTTCTGTACTTCAAGTGCAACGAGAGAACAGCGGCCCAACAACCGGTTGGCTGCAAAAGCAACGCCACCCACGCCCATGCCCATGCCCACGGCCGACACTCGTGGCCCGCAGGCATTGCAGCCGATTCAGTGCGTTACCGATTCAGAGTGGGACTGTCAGAGACTCGAGGCCGTCAAAACCTGAGTGAGTGAGTGAGTGATTGAATGAATGAATGATCGAGTGAGTCCAAGTACAGGGAGGGCGTCCTGTACTTTACGTGGACTCATTGGCACGGGAAAAGCTCCAAGCCCGACCGACCGACCGCCCGTACTCGCAGGACGAAGAGAAGCTTTTCCTCGAGCTTTTCCTTTTCGAGCCTCGATGATCGATCTCCCAATCAGTCGGTCAGTGAGTGAGTGAGTCAGTCGTACGTGGCATTCCGTCCCATTCCACAAAGCCCGCGGAGTTTCTCGAGGGACTGGATCAGATCCCCGCGCTGCTCCGTGATGTCTTCTGCGCAGAGACGGGTCCGAATACGTCTCAATGAAAATCTGTCCAATCATCACGTCACGGCCACCGAACAGCGAATCGTGAGTTTCGTGGCAGCCCGAGTCCGACCTACTTCGACACATGCTCTGATCGATCGAATGCCCATCCACATCCACATCCGATCCTCCTGCGCAACAGCGTTGTTGTACATTGCGGGTTTGCCGATGACGTCGACGAGGAGGAGTCTTCTGTGCATGGCAGTCGGCAGCAAACCTCCACATTTTGCCTGCCCGGCACTTTACTGCGGTTAGTTCAATTGCCATGCCATACACGGCCGTTTGTATAATTTATGGTAAAGGCTAGTTCCAATATCATAACATTAGTAGATACGCCATATTGTGATTAAGATATATAAACTATCTGGATAAATAAATCAAACGCAATCAGATCATATGAATTTTATAGGAATAATCCTAACCAGTGTTTTCATTTAATATATATATTTAAAATTTATATTTAATCTAAATATTTAATTTAGAGTGATAACCTTTACGTATAGTATTATAGTCTTCCATGCATAATCTCGCTCGCAAACATGTTGAAGATTGACAAAGTTCATTACATTTGTGAAGCTTGGGAGGCAAAAGTCGATCTCTATGCGTAGCTATGCAGTTGCATAGCTATGCATAGAGATTGTTAGAGCCCTTTTGATTGTTGCAGCTCCAATTTGCAATTCATTTAGGAAGATAGGAAATCTGAAACTGCGTCAATGTAGTATTGATTTCTACCATATCCACAACATTAAGTCTAGAATCAAATATAACTATGCCGTGGTCCTAGTGGGGTGCAAGACATATTAATGCAGACAAGACAGTATGAGAGACACATCCATGGGAAGTATCTAGATTCTTGTGGTATAGCAACCACCACACTTCTATTCACGCATGGGTAGCTATCATTGGTTTTCCAAACGTCCCATATTTTACAAAAAGAAGTTAAGAATCAAAGAACGCAAGAGTTTTCGAACAAAGTCCAAGGGTATTCAAAAAACTAACCAAAAAGATGGAACATCAAGCTGATCAATAATGAAACGAAATTAGTAACTAGCGGTTTCATCCATATAAGATCTCAATGGACTATATGCGACACAACACATAAGATATCCCAACCATCTAGATGAAACGGCTCACAAAGAATTACAGCATGAAATAAAAACATTACATACCGTGATTGCTATTCTATATATCACAAAAGCTAATGCTGTTTGTGGAACAATTCGACTGCACTACAAAGTTAAGCAAAGACTGATATTTCAGCGGCATGGTAAGATGTATTTTTTGCGCATTTTCTAACCAAACATTCACATAAGTCCAATGCTAAACTGATTATGCCCAAACACCTCATTACCTTGGATAAAATAGTGCCTGAAAAATTCACTGAAAGTATTGAGATCTTCATTAGCGCTAGTCCATATGCTTGGGAAAAGAAGAAATAAGGTCGAGGTGGATTTCTTCGTCTTCTTCTGGACAGGGACTCGTGATCCGGTTGCGTCTACCGTGGGGCAAGGCAGGGGGAGCTCCAGATGCTAGACCTCCAAAAAGCTCCAAAGACAAACATGCCGCCAAATTATGTAAAAAACAACAATAAAAATAAGCTCTAGCTAGCTACTGTAGTGCAGCTAGGTGGTGGCTGCATGAGTCTTCATTTCAAGTCCTGGTCAGCATTGCACATGCTGTGAAAGTTGTCGGTCATTGATCACCAACACATCTTGACAACTGGCCTCTGTTCTCTGCTCTACATTTTTCTTCAATTCAATTCAATCCAATTCAATTCGGGGCTTACCAACAAAGCGAAAGGTATATTAAGTACTACACTGTAGTCTGAGTTCGTGTCCATGAGCTTATAATTCAAAGAGTATGAGGTTTTGTTTCATGTGTTCATGAACTTTCAAGTTCTGACAAAATTGATCTGATATGTTAGGACTGGACCTGAATTATCAATAAGTATGAATTGAATAAGCTCTCCAATGGTTCAGATTTTTGAATCATTCTGACTCATGCAAAAAATGTCATCATAGTATTGGCGCTCCATATTTTGCCCTTGGACTTGTGCTGGATTCCGGGTCCAATCAGAGAGAGAAATTGAAACAAGCATCAGGTTGGTTAATTTTAGATGTGTGCAAGTCGTTGCTCATGGCAAAGAGAACAAGCTCTCTCCCATGATATATCGTGATGGAGACACTTCTTCTAGATGCATTTCTGGCCTTCTCGAAAACTAGTAATGAAGGAAAAGGGCTTGAGACAATTATTCCGGCCAGAAGGAAAAAACAACTCTCATAAGCAGTCCATGTCGAACTCTTGGTCCTAATCAAGGACCGCACGGTTGACAGCTTCTTTCATTATAAGTTTATGTTTCCAAAACCTCAACTGCGAATCTGAGCATGTCACATTCCACAAGTTGCCCCAACGACCCCTATCAGATATCATATATTCTTCTGTTCTGACTAGACATAGCTGAACAAACAGAAAGAACAGTGAGAGATATAATCTATATTCGGGAATGTCTGAAATGTTTTCATGTATCGAAGCATAAGCTTTGGAATATGGCACCAAACAGGAATTGAAACATCCTTTCCCATCCCACCCCACCCCATCCCACCCCATCCCAGCACAGATATCGACTGATAAATCCCTCATGTGCTTTTTGATGATGTCATCATTCCATTTCTGTTTTGGTCCGGTTCTAATGAAGCAGAATGAGGCAGAATTGCCTGGAGGTTGACCGATGACTGCGAGACGTGTCATCGTACGCATGGGTGACACAGATGTCAGCAGATCGCCGCATCTGTCTCGTCGGTAAACAGTCCGGCGAGTTGACATTGTACTGGATTCACGAAACTCACACGCGACAGACGTGAATGGACGGATTGGGAGACAAAAGAGAGAATCCATCAACCTCGCTACAGTAAAAGATCTACACTCGATCCTGGGCTTACGACCTCCCAGCTGCGGAACAAGGGGACGAAGAACGAATCAGGAGTCTCGACTGGAGGCACGAGCTGCGGAGGAGAAGCAGGAATTTGTCAAGAGGTTCCCTTCTCGAGAGGTGGTTACTAAAGTTAGATGTTGGAGCTTGGAAGCAGACGGAGAAACATTTATCTGAACAGACACACAATGTACACCACCCCCGACCCGCGGGAATGCCCACATCTACCACAGCCAGCCAGCCATCCATTCATCCATCAAGCTCCTGGACTTGGACCGGTGGCACAACAAGAATGTACCAAGAGTAGGTGCAGAGATGATCAGCAGTTCGCTCGCTCGTTCGTTCGAGTTGCCCAGTGCACGAACTGTCGGGTTGGTGGATTTCCTCAATCTCCTGCTTTTCTGCTCTGTATGCGGAGCTTCCGTGGATCGTATGAGTGTCTCGTCCTGCCCATACAAATGGCAGCTCGCGACTCGGTTGAGGACGAGCTGAGGACTTGAAAATGAAAATGAAAATGGCAGAGAGGGCTTCGATGGCGGCTCTTCAGAGATGGCCTTCACCGTCGAGGAATTTCGTCAGCGCCGTGCTCATGGCCACGATCATGGCCTGCGCCGGAGTTGGAGCTGGAGCTGGAGGTGGAATTGAAGCTGAAGCTGCAGGCTCGATGAATTCCTCGACGAGTCTCGGGCACATGGATGGTGCCGAGGTGGGGGGATCCGGAGCACCATTGTGGGCGAATTTCACCAGTCGAGTCTTCGTGGTGGGAGAGCGGGAGAGAGCTCGCTGGCCGGAATTGGAGCTAAACACGAGGACGGGGGTGGGGATTGTATTGGGGGGATTGGGGGCTAGCCTCTGCACCGCTGCAGGAATCGGAGGCGGAGGTTTGTTTGTGCCTCTTTTCAGTCTTCTTCTGCAATTTGATTCCAAGACGTCTGCAGCTCTGTCCAATTTCGTGATGGTCGGGGGGCAGTCGGTAACCATGGTATTGAATCTGGCACAGAGTCACCCACTTCATCCGGAAAGGTCCCTCATAGACTTCGACGCAGCTCTTCTTCTGCAGCCCAATCTTCTCCTGGGCATCAGCACGGGAGTGATCCTGAATGTTGTGTTACCGAACTGGTTCATCACGTTGTCGCTAACCATAGTCCTGTCTTACGTGACTTTACACTCTTGTAGGAGTGGGTTGAAACGATGGAAGAAGGAGTCCCATCAGCTGGCTCTGCCAACCTTTGAAATCGCTTGCAAAAAACTTGAGACTCAAAGTTCACTTTCCTCCTCTGGGTCAGAAATCTCCGAAAACCTCATGGAATCTCTGCTCGACCATCACGGCAATTCCCGCTTTCCCCAAAAAAAAATCTTCGCTCTTGCCATTGTTTGGCTCGCCTTCGGTGCCGTGCAGTTCTTACGCGAAGGCAAAGGGAGCAAGGTAAATGAACGGATTGCTCGTTCTTTTTAGCATGTTTGTACTTTCTCTTCTGCACTCCTGGTTGAATCTGGCCAACACCACGGTTCTGCTGATCGGAGTTATCAGGCGAGACCTTGAAACCAGTCACCGGTGTGGTTCTATTTTACAATTCAAGTGTCTTTGGGTCCACACTCTATTCATGTACTTGCTGCAGTCCGGAAAATTTCCAATCTACGCACATCAAACAACTGGTTTTGGCGTCTCCCATTGCTGTAGATATTCATACCAAATGCTATTTTCCTCTCTGGCATTGTAAAACAATAATTTGGTGTTTGATTGTACTACAATACCAGAGAAGGTATCTGAGAGATTTGAATCACTTCAACTTTGAAATGCGTGCTAAAATATACTTGTTTCGTTTATTTTTTGCCCGCATCATATATTATATGATATAAGAGGCAAGTGGTATGTCATTATTCTTTTTCTTGCAGCCCTCTTCCCCTCCACCCTTTTCCTGGTCTGTTGTGAGCTGAACTGCTGTACATCTTTCTGCCCTCGCTGAAGTTGCAATGCTCCGTTGTGCCTGCAGGGCAGATGCGGCATAGGCTACTGGCTGCTCACGGCCACGCAGGTACCACTGGCGCTGATCGTAACACATTACACGTTTACGAATCTCCGCGAAACTGTTGCTACTCATAAAGGAGCTTCGGAATCACCAGTAAGCTATCCAATTTGTGCTCAGTAGCTTGAGTTTATCCTTCCAGTTGGACATTTGGAAAGCACTCGTAGAAGTACTTGGCTTTGGGGAATGCACACCATGGGATTATATCAGGGCGTCGTATGACTCAAAGTAAAGCTGGTTTCATTATTAGCCTTCATGATTGTCTTGAGGACCGCCATAGATTGCTGCAAATAATAGACCTGTCGTCTGTGTGTTCATCCCATTGCGTCAGAGCTGTGATTTCAAAGATCGCTGATTATATCTCCTTGCTAGTTCAGTCGCTTGATCACAGATTAGTTGACTGATTTCGTCAGGCGTTGGGGTAGGTAGAACTTGTCCTGCGTCGAAGCCTAAAAAAAAATCATCAATTAAAATTATTACTTGCAAAATCATTATTTTGCATTATTGGGCATGCTAAATCGTGCTTCTATTTTGCCTCATTTCAGTCGTTCCATTCTGCCTGGTGTTGAAGAGCTTCATTACCTTCGATTGCAGGATGATGGCTTTGTACTAGGACCAGAAGCCAGCTCTCTATTTCCAAAGATGGCATTAATGACGGGAATTATCGGAGGAATGCTGGGGATCGCAGGGGCTGTGATAATCAATCCCATGCTAATGTCAGCCGGAATGCATCCTCAGGTACTCCCCAAGCTCATCTTAAAGTTCGTTATTACGTCTGACTGCAGAACATCGACCAACCATGAGAGACCGCATGTAGAAATATGCATACTTGTATTCCAGAAACAAGTTCCACAAGCTCAGAGGCTGAATGTTTGATTATGCTGCGCAGGTAACAGCAGCGACTTCAGGCTTTATGGTGGTGTTTTCCGCCTCCATGTCCGTGGTCCAGTATTGGCTAATGGGCCGCGTTCCATTAGACTGGGCAATTTCATCAGCAGTCCTCTCTGCTCTGTGTTCTGCTGTGGGAATCTTGCTCCTGCAGAGAACCATCACCAAGTTGGGACGGGCATCGTTAGTCGTATTTTTGGTAGCATTCGTAGTAGGGATCAGCGCTGTGCTCATGGCTGTTCTCGGAGGTTGGGACGTGTGGAGACAGATACAAACCGGGGCCTACATGGGCTTCCATTATCCTTGCTAGCTAGATGCTGTGAAAGATCCGTATCCACGATCAAAGTATGCGCAGAAGGCCAGCCAGAGATCCAGAAGAGTAACATTCATAGAAAACTGTAAATACGAGAGAACCACGACGCACGCATATAAAAATTTCCCAAAAAATTGGAAGTCCTTGACATCATCATGACGAGTCCGAGTCCGAGTCCGTGTCAGGGAGGTTATGGAACGAATCGTATGAGTGATCGGTGAAGCTCCTAGCACCTCATTCACTCACCTCTTTGTAGCAACACGAACAGCATAAGAACTTGAGGTATGGACAGGAGCACACGGAATCCAGCTCCTACCGAAGGGCACCGGCAAGAAAAGCGCTGCGCCACGAGCATTCGACCTTGCCATCGCTTTTGAACCACCACCACAGTTTCGAGCGAAAAGCGAAAAAGACTCCGAGTCCAATCATGTCGCAAAGTACAGGAGTACAGAAATGAACTGAACAATGAAAATATCACAGCGCAGCGGCGGTCCGACTACGTAAAGATCGTTTAGATTTAGATACCTCAAGGTCATAACGAAAAGGAATCGTGTCGATCGCGCGTGAGGCAACGAGGCACATGAAGACAGGCGAAATGCGATCAGTGCGAGCCGAAGCACCGGCCGTCGAATGCATCCTGGCGACCTTGAAAAACTGATCCCAGAGCGTCCATACATCATACTCTGAAACCTTGGCACTAAATTTGAGCCTAAACTCATGAATGGTTTGCGTATCAATCGACAGATCCTATGGGCTCGAAGCACTGACTCTACTCACTTGATTCTGGTGGCTCTGTCACTCGCAGGCTGCTGCATCGCATTGCGATAATGTGCACGTGCCCACAGTATACGGACCGGATGGATCTCAGGGCTCAGAATGGTGTCCATGTAAATTGAGCTAAGGTCGAGCTCTGTCTGGGTGGAAATCGGCTTCGTGCTCTGTGTTGCGAGTGCAATCATAAATGTAGGATGGATTCATAAAAGCCAGGTATGAGGGTGCGTGTAGTGAAGAGAGAGGCAACTATTGGTTCCTCCGAAGTTTACTTCGTATAGATTACAAACGTGAGCTGAACTTGCTCGGCCTATATCTGTGATCGCTATGTACACTATATGAAGGGTTTAGATCTTATATAAAAACTCAGGACATCGCTCATTGTCCTGATTCGTGACGGAATTCTGTCAGATCCTGCAAATTATATTACGATTCTAGACGGCTCGATCGATAGGGGACATCCGTTCCAGTCTGCTAAGCAGTCGAGCAAGGGCGACGCCAGTTTCCCTGCGGAAATGGCTTCATACACGAGCTCGATGTCCTCACCAGGAGACCTCGTTTCCGTGCCGACCAGCAGCTTGGTACCGAGAGATCTGACGAAATTGTACAGCGGATAGCTGCGGCAATCGGCAATTCGATTGGGCAGCGCGGCGACGCCCTTGTCGAACTTCTCTCGAATGGCGGGCACGGCGGCGTCGAGCTCGATCTTCACTTGCTCCTCGAACACGGCGATTCGCCGGAAGATGCTGCAGCTCGCGTCGTCGTTCGCGTCGCCGAGAGCGTGCGCGACCAGGCATTGGCGCAGCTTCTGCATCAGAGGGTACGTCGCGCTGGTGGCGTCGTCGGCGTACGAGAACGGGGGCTGGTCGTCGACCACCTTGAGGAGGTCCTTCTCGCAGAAGCGCGACGGTAGCAGCGAGCCGAGCGCGTCGGCGAAGAGGGACCGCCTGGCGGCCTGCGACACCGCCAGCTTGACGCCGGCCTGCAGATTCTCCTCCAGGTGGCGCAGGTCCACGGCCTGACAGAGCGCCACGAGGTACGTGGAGCTCATGAGCTGGAGGATGGCGAGGGCCTCCTCCGTCTTGCGGGCCGAGAGGAGCCCCAGCGAGTTCACGTCCTGGTAGTGCTGCTCGGCGCTCTGGACGTGCGTCGTCACGGGCGCGGCCAGGAAGAGGAGCTCCGAAGTGTACGAGGCCATGGCGATCTCCGCGCCCTTGAACCCGTAGTCCAGACTCGGGTTCGGACCGCCGGTCAGGTTGGACGGCAGACCGCCGTTATAGAAGTCGTTGACGAGCTCGGACATCTGCGCGAACATGAGTTTGCCAATGGCCGCGACGGCCAGGCGCAGGTTGTCCATGGAAACGCCGATGGGCGTGCCCTGGAAGTTGCCACCGTGGACCACCTTGTCACGGGCCACGTCGATGAGCGGGTTGTCGTTGACGGAGTTGATCTCGCGCTCGATGGCGTGCGTGGCCGCGCGGACGGCCTCGATCTGGGGCCCCAGCCACTGGGGCGAGGTTCGTAGCGCGTACCGGTCCTGCTTCGGCTTCTGCAGCGGGTCCGTCTCGTGCCGCGTGGCCGCGGCCTTCATGTACGAGCTGCCATGGAGCACGTGCTCCATGATGGCGGCCGCCTCGATCTGGCCCGGGTGGTGCTTGAGCCGGTGGGTCAGGTGGTCCGTGAACTCGGGCTTGCCCTGCATCACCTCGCAGAACAGCGCGGACGCCAGCTCGGCGAAGAGCGCCAACACGTTGGCGTCGTAGCAGCACGTGGCCGCCAGCGCGGACCCGACCGCCGTGCCGCTCACCAGCGCCAGACCCTCCTTGGGCTGCAGCTCGAACGGCTTCAGCAGCCCGACGAGCTTCAGCGCTTCGTGCGCCGTCACGATGTCGCCGCTCTCGGTCGCGGCTCGGGCATTGGGACGGCCCGTAAGCAGGCCCGCGATGTAGGACAGCGGCACGGGGTCTCCCGCCGCCGTGATGGTGCCCCGCAGCGGCAGCCGAGGAGTAATGCGCTTGTTCAGGAATTTCTGCATCGTCTGCAAAATCGACCAACGAATTCCCGAGTAGCCTTGCAGCAGAGTGTTGGTCCTGACCAGCATGGCCGCTCTGGTCGTGCTGACGGGCAGCACATTGTTCGAGTCCTTGCCGATTACCCCCGCGTTCAGAAATCGGATCAGCTCTCGTTGCAGCTCCGCTCCCTGATCGGTGCGCCGGTGCGATGTCGCACCGAAGCCCGTGGTGACGCCGAACGTGTCCGTCCCTTTCCTTATGTTGTGCAGCACCCACTCGGAGCTCTCGTCGACTCGCGATTTGGCTGCCTCCGCATCGAGCACCACCGTCACGTCGGGCCGCCTGGCGATGGCTGCGACCTGGGCCACCGTGAGCGTCTCTCCCTGGATCAGAACCTCCTTGGCATCCTGAAATTCTTGCACCAAGTCGGCGACCTCCTCCCAGTGACTGCACTCCATGGCCCGAGCTGCTTTCGCCCAGTTCAGGGGATCCTCTGTTCGTGGAGCAGTCTTCGCCATGGGGCTCAGGCAGTACTGCACCGTATCTCCGCCTTTCCCAGTGGGAATTCGGATCTGCTGAAAGTTGGACGAGAAGATTTCGTTCATCATGACTGCAGGCAGAGCTCCTGACTGAAGCTGATTGAACTGCTCTATGTGGTCTACCGAATCAAAGAGTCGAGCCCGTCTGCCAACCTTTCAGCCAAGCACTGAACTGATGAACTGAGTGATCGTGTGAGGCTCTTATACTAGAGATTTGGAAGAGGAGAATTTTTTTTTGGAAGGTCGCCACGGACGAGGAGTGGGAAAAGAGGTAGAGGGCATTGCAAAGATTGTCTGAAAGAAGAATCGGACTCCGATGCCTCGCAGCTCGCAAGAAGCTGTCGTACCTCAGTACGACAGCTTCTTGCGAGCTGCGAGGCATCAATCAGACAATCTTTGCAATGCTGCGAAGAGATGCAGAGAGGAAAGCGAATAATTCACTCTGACAGTGCTGCCCGCAGAAAGAAAGCTGATCGGTACACAGAACCGTTGCGTTGCTGGATAGTTCTGATTCCTGATGAACGATAGCTGAATTTCCGCACATTATATACCTCAGCCCTCGCTGCATTTTCGACCTCTTGGTGCTGTGACTGGGACCGTGGAGTCTAGATCTTGGTGGGTGGACACTGGACTCCGCTCGAGTCCCCAGGAATCTGCAAGTCCTACCAATGGGCACACCGTCTTAGCCTATATTGACACAATATTCGAGCTAGCAATTGTAAAGTGCCTAGTAAAAAGATGCCAGGAGCCTTGAGAACCCGACGTGCTAAATAAATCGAAGATCAAGGTTGACAAATCCCCCCTGACCACCAAATGCAGCCTACGGAAGAATGTTCACCGTCAGTTGACAACTCTCGCTCGTACTCACGTACTCGAGTCCTGACCCATTGGGCACTTTCAACTTCACTATCACGTTGAAGTTGTAGTCTTCAGTTGCAGACATCGGTATTAGTAGAACCAGGCCGATGATCTGCCCGAAGAGAAAGAAATTAATCTTATTTGGATCGTCTGGGACGTACAGTCGTGTCCTCGATCAGCCCTCATGTGTTCTCCGTGGGATTCTGAGCCCAGGACAGGATTCGTCTGAACTTACGCAGTGATTGGTAGGTTGCCTAATGTGTGCTTGACCTTAGAGACTTTTGCGAAGTCCACCAAGGACGAAACGTTACGTTTGATCGGACTCATTTTTGGGGTGCCATTCTTCTTTCAGTTCTTTCGATCTGGCATCATCACAACCATCGCAGCATTGTTGATTCTATCACGAAATCTCCGACTTCATCATGCATGACCTTCTTTGACTTAGACTCTTCACTCGAGACCAAAGGTCCATCTTCAACTTCAATAAAGATTTTTGTATAATATGTTTTCAATATGCGGAAGTACTTGGAGTTTCTGCCTTTTTATTGCGAAGTTTGATGATAGAATTTCTTTTCCTAAACTGCGCAATATATAACCTCCATGCTACCCACGAGTAGAATATTGAATTATTTCTCATATGTTATCTAGATATTTTGGATGCTGTATATATTTACAGCACCTCTGGCGTTTTGACCCTCAAAGCAAAGCAGCACCTTACGGCCCTCTGGCCCTTTGACAACTTTGCTTGCAACTCCTACTTTGCTTGCGAAACTTGTTGTGCAGAAATTGTGCCATGTATGGGGTTTACGCAAGAATCAATTTCAAAAGCCAACGCAAGTCTCTCTGTTTGTCTTCAAAGAAAACAATCCCTTGAGAACAATTGAAGCAGATGCTCTACAATGCAGTCACGTGGATAGCATGATTCTGCAAGTTCCAAGGTGCTCATGCCTTCACTTACGGTCTCGTACAATCTGTATATTATGCAAGTTATACTCTTTACTGTAACTGAGACAAAGGAGGTTCAACATTTCCAAGTCTCTCGTTTTGTATAAGGTCCTTCCCTCCTGGGTGGACGAGTTTTACTCGAATACTAAAAGGATAGAAAAGGATTTTCAGCACAAAAAAATCTTGGGGGACCGTTCCTGACCATGACCATCTGGTCAATGTTGTCATAATTGACAGCACCGGTCTGATGCGAATAATGGGACTCTTGCGGTCCTGATGCCGTGAGTTAGAAGACTCAAACTCATCCACCTGTCGATGACATTAGACTTATAATATAGCGAAGCCTTTAGTGTAAGTTTGTACGGTATATATACTGGGCTGGTCGGAACTTGGTGTACGAACATCTCATCCAAGTCTGCGGGGATTTGTTTGCATTGTATCCCTGCTGCTTGCTGAGACGACTGACGAACTGACAAATCTGAGGGTTTGCCACTTGTATTCAGTTGGAGAAATGGCCAACAACGGCAATGCTACCGCTTACCGCCACCAGAGGGCCGAAGGGCCAGCCACGGTTCTTGCCATTGGCAAAGCTACACCCCCCACGGCTTATCCTCAAAGTGAATATCCGGACTTCTTCTTCGACATCACCAACACCAATCACAAGACTCAGCTCAAAGCCAAATTCGCCCGAATATGTAAGCATCTCAACTCTTCTCTATCCTCTATCATCATCTGTGCATAGAGTGCTCTAATTGCCCCTGAAAGTTGGTTGACACTGCAATTCTACGTCAGAATTTGTGGTTTGTGAGCTTTGACTTCTTAACCTCAGTTCTGTCTTTCTGTCAGCTCCTAAGTTTCATATGGAATGAGAGAACTCATCCATGTCTCTGTTTTTGTTCAGGCAATAATTCAGGAATCAACACGAGGTACTTTCACTGCACCGAAGATGTTCTAAAGGCCAATCCTTCCATGTGCACGTACCTGGAACCTTCTCTCGATGTTCGACAGGACATTGCCATCAGAGAGGTCCCGAGATTGGCGGAGAAAGCAGCCATCGAGGCCTTAGCGGAATGGGGCCAGCCCAGGGACCAGATCACGCACGTCGTCTTTGCAACTACGAGCGGAGTGAACATGCCCGGAGCCGATCTCACGCTCACCAGACTTCTCGGTTTGAATCCCAATGTGAACCGTACCATGCTCTACCAGCAAGGGTGCTTCGGAGGGGCCACAGTTCTGCGCGTGGCCAAAGATCTCGCCGAGAACAACAAAGGCGCTCGAGTGCTGACGGTGGTGAGCGAGCTCACCTGTGTGACTTTCCGCGCACCCAACGAGGAGCATCTGGACAATTTGGTGGGCTCAGCCATCTTTGGCGATGGAGCGTCCGTCCTGATCATAGGTTCCGATCCCTTGCCCGAGCGGGAGAAACCGCAATTCGAGATTCACTGGTCAGGCGAGACCATTCTTCCGGAGAGCGACGGTGCAATCGAGGGGAGGCTGACGGAAGCAGGTCTGATCTTCCACCTGCTCAAGGATGTCCCCGGACTGATTTCACGCAACACCCTTCCCATCTTCAACAGAGCAATCGAGGTTGCAGGATCTCCGAGCTGGAACGATCTGTTCTGGTGTGTGCACCCGGGAGGTCGTGCCATTCTCGACGAAGTGGCCAAGACTTTGAGCTTGAAACCCGAGAAGCTGGAGGCTACCAGAGACGTGCTTTACAACTACGGAAACATGTCCGGTGCCAGTGTGCTGTTCGTCCTGGATCAGATGAGGAGGCGGTCGGCCCAGAAGAATAGCACCACCACCGGAGAAGGGTGCGAGTGGGGACTTGTGGTTGGATTTGGACCGGGATTGACAGTTGAAGTCTCTGTCCTGAAAGCCATCCCCCGGCTGATGTAGACACACAGCTCGTGTTCAATGTTCAACGAACATTTATTTCAGATTAGATTGTCGACAACCCGACATACTGACAAACCCACATTCATAAAGCCTGGATTGATTCCCAGGGCAATACAGATGCGTACAGAGACGAGGGCTTAGGGTTGCCCCTCTGCTACCGCACAATGATTCATCGACATACAATTGTATAGTTTAAAGTTCTAGGAAGTACCGGATCAATTTGGAGGAGCCATTACCTTGATACTAATTGTAGTCAGGCCCTTACGTACATAAGACCTGGGCAGCAGTGCCTAGGCCTCGGTCGGAATTCAGGAGATCTTGCACCTAAATGTAAAATGCACGGAAATCTCCGAAGTTCCGGATGACACTCCAATTTCAGTTCTCAAACTTCTCAGATGATGGATGGATGGCTGGCTCTCCTCTCATTGCTTTTGAAACGTTTTCTGACTCTCAATCTGATCTGGCTCATGCTCCCTCGACAGCCCTGAGGACTTGATGATGTCTCCTGAAATTCGTTTCTCCGTTAGTGGTGAGAATCATACAGAATCATACAGATGGTGAGGTTTGCTCGCGAACGAGTTAACGAACGAGGTGCTCGCTGAACCCCGCCGCCACCTCATGAAAGTTCGAGTTTCTATCTTGTATTCGAGTCCGTCCGAATTCTCGAGCCAGGCAACTCATGTTTCGATCGACGATGAGTACAATACTTGCTCGAATGTTGTCGCAAGGGCTTGATGATGCTCGACGTTGGTTCCTCCCCGAAGCATGAAAGCACGAAGCGACTGCCGTCTCGTTTCTCCGACACGAGACGGCAGAAGGCGGCGTCAATGGAGCATTCGTGTTCGTCCTCGTACGTAAATTCATCCATGCACGAAGAAGTCTCTCCCGGAATGGCTTACGTACGTGTCGATGATGACGTCGTCCGAAATTGCTGAGCTGTATCGGATTCTCAGCACGGAGTGCCGAAGTCCACGTCATAAAGTTCGGCAGAGGCTGACTGGATCTTAATGTATCCGCGCTTACCACGTCCATAGACCACAATTTGGTAAAGGAACGTAGTGTAGAGTATCATACTGTCCGTGTAATTGGATTGTTCGCGGACTGCGCTGTATAATACCAAATGAATTATACAACACGGAGAGATCCATCACATTACATCTCATTCGTCCATCAACTCCTCGAACCCGAAGATATACTCCTCATTCCTCCCGTCTATGCCCTGAGATATGTTAACACTATCAAATTCATCAATGCTACCACCACCAGCTTCTTCATCCTCGTTCTTCATCCTGGACGACGGGGTCCACTTCATGTTCAGATTCATATACGCTATTAGGGTAAAGTTGGTGAAGCCAATTGCAAAACTTTGTATACCTTGTTGAAGCGATTTGACGATTTAGTTGTTCCGAATTGAACATAATGGCTGTCCCGATCTCGATCTTGTGCTTGCCCAACCGAGCTCGTGAGTGACTATGAACACGTGTGGCCGCCTTGTGATTGCGTTCACCCCCGCTTGACCTGTCAGATTCTTGTGCAATGCAGATAGTCGACCTTTGATGGCACCGAAGTAATGGTCGTCAGATAATGTCCACAATTCAGACGGCTTGAAGGTGATGTCGCTGAAATCATCATCTTTGTCCATCGGGCCCACAATAAACGTGGCGAACTTGCTAAAGAATTTTCGTCGTAGGTTGTCATTGCCATTTGCAAGACGGCTGATTGCGGCCTTCGACTGCTGGTTGATTGAAGTCTTCCCCAATTGCAAGAATTCTTGGCTGAATTTCGTCGCGATCCTAGTGCGTAGAGGGGTGAATAATGGATCAGTAGCAAATGCCGGAGCATGGGCTTCCGTGTAAATTGTCGAGAAGCGATGATGAATCATCGTCACAATCCGTTCGATATCATGTTCAGTCAAATCCAATGCGTTCTTGACAATGGAATTCAACGTCTTAACGTGAAACTTGATTGCCACAAAGTAGGCATACACAAAAAAAAATGTAGCTTCATCTCCTTCCAAATATGTTAAATATGAGTATATCGTCTTAAACAGTGCTTCCATCGCAGACACGCCCTTCCAATAAGACCGATCTGTAACCAAAGCTTTCAATTTGTGGGATACATCAATGTCATAATCGGCATTAAGAATTTCACCTGGCAACGATGCACATGCCGATTTTACAGCGCTGGCACGCTGAGCGGCGTAGTAAACAGTATCCCATCGGGTCTTTGTAAAGAGTATTAACACATACGTCTTCCAATATTTTTCAATGCAAAGCTTGTCGAACAACTTTAGCAGAAGATGGGACGACTTGAACGTCTTCAGGATGAACATAATCTGTTTTAAAACTCGATTCACTCTTGGAAAATGTCTGCACAAATCCATGCAAAGGTTGTGGATCGCATGGGGTGCACAACCGTAGGTAAACATGAACTCATTCGAATTAAGACATTCCTTGCACAACTTAACCATGACGCTTGGTGAATTGCTGTAGAAGCAGAACATCGGTGGATTAACGAAGTGTTCATTCTTGATGTAGGGTAGCACTTCTTCACCCTGCTGTTCTACGATTTCAACATTGTTGTTGAGATCTGCAATCCTTTCGATATTTCTCGATAAGACAAAACCAGGAGCCGACTTACAAATATTTCCCAAAAGGCGCAGCTTGTAGTTCAAAACTTTCTCCAACAAATTCACCGCACTTTCTCTATGTAGTTCCATTGTAAAATGTTCCAAGAACATTGCAATTGGTGAACAAGCCATCAGGTTGATCACCTGCTTGACTTGCACATTCGTGGCAACATCCAAGGTAAAGCAAATAAGCGGCATCTTGCTCAGTGCGAGAAGAACATCATTCATGACATATACGTATTGATTTCACATCAATTGACCACCAATAGCTTCTGTAGAAGGAAATTGAAAGCAGCCACGAAGCGACGTAAAAAAAAGCTTCCATGTTGGATGCTCAAATGCAACAAATTGCATAGCCGTGCGGTGAACAACAAGTGCAAATAGTGTATCGAGCTTCTACTATTTGTCCTTCTTCAAGATATTAAAATGCTTCCGACCGCCGGAGAAGAAATCGTACTTAGAATCATTTGGGGATACTGACTTGCTCTGGTTGCTGCTGGCTGGAGCCGATGAAATAACTGTCAATGTTACCATCTTCTTTCGAGATGGCTGGAACCCAGCTTCCAATTGGACTCTACTCCAAGCGGCCGTTTCTTACAGCCAGCATAGTGATCGCGCATGCGATCCACTGCTGCAATCACCGGTTCGTTGCAAGAGGAACACTTGCAGTACGTTGACCTCGCATCACCCTGCCTGTAACAAGCTCCCAAATTTCTCCTGTAATAGCATCCTTTCTCCTATAATCTTCCTCATTTCGAATAGACAATGACAAAACTGAAATTTCAAATCTCACACTTTGTAGCAACCCTAACCCTTAGATTCTCTGAATTCTAAACTCCATGGATTGCACTGTGAATTATGAATTCCACGGATTGCACGTCGGACTCATTTGGACTCCGCAATGGTCTCATTCGGAGCCGTGTCAGATTTTTTATTATACAATTAATCAAGGTATGGTTTGAGAGTGCTATATAATACAATGGTATAATACCATGGATATAATACCACAATTATACATACAAACCCATATCCGTGACTCATCGTGAGTCCAATGCTTTTCTAAAATACTTGCCTGTTTTACTTACATGCTATCAAGTAATCTAAGGGGTACAAAATTGTGACCTTAAATATACAAAATTATGAGAAAATTATCAATCGCTTTGTTTGAGAAGATAATAGGTGGACTGAAATATGTTGATTAGAAGAAAATTTTCTTATGCAATCAAATTATATGAAATCATACTATCAAACATTACATTTAACATTTTCAAAAGCATACTAAGTTTCTTCTTTGAAATCTTCATGCTATGTGTGAAATGTGTTTTGTTGAAATTAAAGTTTTTTTACATATAAGAATTTTAATTCGAAAATTTTAAATTTGATTTATCTATAATATGTTTGTAATAACCCATCAAAGGCTAAAACTGCAATATAGTGGTAGAAAGGTCGAACCCCCAGGGACAGAGGCAACACACAGAGTACAAAGTGTCACATTTAACAAACTATTGAAGAGTTTGAATTCTCAGGCGACTGTCACTCCCAGAAATACTGCAAGTGTTCACTTGGAGCTCACTCGGAGGTCGCACAGTGCAGCGTAGTTCACTCAACACACACACACACACACACACACACAGCTAAAACTATAGAAACACAACTCAGAGGTCGTTTAGGACCTCTACTTAAGATTTCAGGGGAAAAGTCTCTCACGAATACACTCAGCGAATCTGCGGGTAGTGACTCCCAACTCCGGCTTTTACAACCCTTCCACTAGTTTCTGCTAGCACAAGGAACCCGGATTGGACTTCCTACTTCGGATCGAAGTCACTCACACGCCGTGAACAACACACTCAACTCACAAAACGCGAAGAGAACACAGGTCTGACTGAGAGATTCAACTGAGAAACGATCCAGTAACACACCATAACAGTCTATTGAAGAGTTTGAATTCTTAGGCACTTGTCATTCCCAGAAATACTACAGGGGTTGCCCTGAAGGCACCTGCTGCAGCGTGACCTGACTTTACAACCAAGGCTTACTCGAAGTAGCAAAACTTCACTTTGGCATTAAGGGGAAAAATCCCGAAGTAGTACAATCAGGAACAATCACTCGAAAGTGTAAGGGGGAACTGTTCAAGTATCTAACTAGTCATTAGCTCTGAGCATCATCAATCACCCGCAGGTGTAGATCCGAACTACTCAAGTCTCGAACCAGTGTACTAGCTCTGAACATTCGGCCGAAGGCCTTCAGCTACAAAATGCAGATCGCCAAGTAGTAGCTCCTCTTGCGCGGTGACAGAACTAAGGACACTAACACGCAGAGAAAATGAGTTCTTGATCTGCACTTCCGAAACTAGAAGAATCCCAAGGCAAGACGCCTTGAACTACTTTATACCCTCTAAGTCCTAACTAACACTGCACTGCACTACGCTACGCGCCTGCACGGAACCACGCTACACTACACTCCGCAGAACCTGTGCTTCGCCTTCTGCGCGACGGACTGCCGCGCACTAACTCCCTACCTTGCCAGTCTTCCGCTCGACTGCGCAGTCCCCACCGCCGCAACACCGCAGTAACCTCTGTCTTGAGAGTGGCCATGGTGTCCCGCGACTTCGACTGAAACGAATCCAGCTTCTTCGCCACTCGCCGCCGGCTCCGACTGTCACCTGACATCAAACCCGCCGCACGAAGCTCTAACTCGCGCAGTGTGAGTTTCTCCTACGCCGCCACTTCCTAGTGGGCGTAACATCTGAGACA